GCAGCAGGTGCCCGAGGTGGGAGGTGGCCCCTGGGCAGCCACCGAGAGGAGGGCCTGACGCTGCCCATCGCGATGACCGCGCACCTGGTACGCCCACTCATCCGGCTCTCAGGTGCATGCAGGTGTGTGCATGCTGTCATGTGGGTTGTCCACACAGCCAGGGGCCTCCTGGGAGGCCTGGGCTCCTGACCACCAGGCAGGAGGGCCCTGTGCACCTCGGCCCCTCTTGCTGCTATGGAGGTGGCAGTGGTGGCATCAGAGGCCCTCAGCCGACCACTGAGCAGCACGTTCCTGGGCTGGATGGAGGAGGAGGGCCATGGGTCCGAGGAAACAGCAGGTGTGGAGACCCCGAGACGTGAGGGGCCTGGACACTGCAAGGGTCCCGCAGCTGACAGTGCAGCAGGTGTCAGGAGTGGCGGGACCTGAGGCCACGGGGCACCAGGGTGGGGCCAGCGGCGCGGGGTGCCTGCAGCAGAGCCCGGCATGCGAGGGAGAGAGGGTTTGGATGCAAAGAAGAAACAGAACTAGATTTGCATCGGGGAACGTCCGAGTGGGGCCAAGTGCAGGGCGTGGGGGACGGGCGCGGACAGGAGGGACCCTGCCGGGGTTTTGCCGGGACCAGGGAGGGCAGGTCTTCCGGCCTGCTCATTCTAGTCTCACTGGCTTGTTGGGCCGTGGAGAAGGCTGGCCTGCATGGAGGAGGAGGCAGGGGGATCCCTCAGTGCCCCCAGCCCAGAGTCCAGCGTGCAGGCCCGGCCGGCTGTGGTGTGGTCGCCGCTGGGCTCCGTCCCCCGCCCGCCTTCCTCCTCCCCCAGGCCCGCGGCCCCAGTGCGCCCGACGCCGTCCAGCAGCGGGGCCAAGAGCGCGTTATCAGATAATAAATAAGGCGGCTGGAGCCACCCGTGTCAACAACTTGGCGGCCGCACAGGGCACTGTGGGGGAGGGGCTGCCCGCCCCAGCCAGCCCCCTGGGGGAGGCTATGGGCTTAGGCAGCCTACGCTGCTGAGGTGCCTGTGAGGGGTTGGACGTGGGCACCCTGGCATCTGTCCCCAGCCACAGCCTCCCAGCCTCGGGGGTGCCGGGTCCCTCAAGCCTCGCTTTCATCGGTGGCTGGGGGTCCTGGTGAGTGGAGGGACCGGGCACGGCACAGAGGCAGATGTCGGTGAGAGGGCCTGGGTGATCGCTCTTTGGGCCTCACCTTCCACCTCGTGGCCGAGCGCCTGGGGGCCACGTGGAGATGGGGCCCCGGCCGGCACAGGAGGGGGTTGCTGCTGAGGGGATCTGAGCCTGGGCCCTGGTGCATGAAGAGCCTCCCTCAGGAAACCCACCACGTACGCACCACGCCTCTTCCCACTGTGGCCCTCCAAGGAGGAGGCTGGACCCAGGGTGCCCGAGGGTCACTGCCAGCTGCTCCTGCCTCGGTGAGCCTGGGCTGGGGTGGACACCGGGTGCTGGCCAGCTTCCGAAGGCAGGTCTGGTGTCCCCAGAAACACGATCCCTGAGGCTGTAGATCTGGCCGTCCTCACATGAGAGCCGGTCCTGCCTCCCCTCCGTCCTGGGCCTCCCCATCCTCTCTCTTCTCTGCTCACTCAGCCACCCTGCCCCGCCCTCCACACCGCACACCGGGCCCTGACTCAGCCCACGTCCAGCTGGCTGTCCCCATAGGCGGTCCACACCCTGGAGAAGGCAGCCGAGCCACACACGGCCTGCGAGTCTGTGACACCCACACAGCAGGGTGACGACGTCCCCTTCAGGCATGACAGCAGTGTTCCTGGTGGCGGACGGACCTGCTTGATGATGGCGACAGTGGGAACCGTCTTCTTCTGAGAATGTCCCCACCGAGAGGCACCGCTCGTTAACAATGTTCCTTTTTTTTTTTTTGAGACAGAGTCTTGCTCTGTCATCCAGGCTTGAGCTCAGCGGTGCGGTCACCCCTCACTGCAGCCTGGAACTCTTGCACTCAAGTGACCATCCCACCTCAGACTCCTGAGCAGCTGGGACCGCAGGCAGACGCTACCACACCTGGCTAATTTTTTTGTAGAGACGGGCTGTCACTGCTGCCCCGGCTGGTCTCTACCTCCTGGGCTCCAGTGATCCTCCCACCTCAGCCTCGCATCTCCCTCCTGAATGAGCATGGTGCATGTTTCAGGAGTACCTGAGAGGCTTCACTTAGCCATGAGCTGTCTTTTGCAACAGCAAAGGCGAGGCGGACCCTCTGCCTGAGCCCACCCCTGGCAGCTCCGGCCCCTCACGGTGGGGATGTGACGTGTCCCGGGACCCAGCCGCCCTGTCGGGTTCAAGGCTGTTCCGGCGGCTCTCGGGATCCCGTGTTGATGCTCGGCCAAGGGGCACCCACGGGCACCGAGGAGCCTGTCGGTTGGCCGAAGCGAGGCTCAGGAATGCTGCGTGAGGCTCGGGGCCTGCTTTGAGGAGCGAGGGCCATAGCCCCAGGGCCCTGGACACGTTCAGCCTTGCTGCTCTGCCCTGAATGAAGCAATAAATGAAGGGCCTGGAGCGGGAGGGTCTATGAATGGCCCTGGGTCAGGACGCCCCGGCTGGCAGGCCGACCGCTCTTCTTTTTCTGTGTCTCCTGCGCTTAGTTGTGGGACGTCACCAGGGTCTCCTCCCTCCCGCAGGACAGAGCACCGTGGGGCTTGGTGGACACTTTCTGCAGGCTGGAGGGGCCCCTGCAAGGTCCTTGGGGATTTCCAGGCGTGACGCCTCCTCCTGCAGGCACCTGGCATCTGCTTTAGTTAGAAAGGTGGAGGGGAGTGAGTGCGCCCAGGTCTGTGCAGTGCAGGTAAAGGGGCCTTCCTTTCAGTCCTGTCGGTGTCATAAGGGGCCGGACACTTTGCCGCCAGCCTTCAGCTCATCTGGTTGTTTATGGCCAGCTGGGCAGCGGCAGGGCGGGCTGGCAGGAGGAAGGGCGGTGGGAAGGGTGCCTGGTGGCTATATTAAGGGCCTGGGCCTCATGGCTTCCGCCCCAAGAGGAGAAAGGCTTAAATTTAGCAGCAGCGACCATGCCCACTGGTGGAGCTGTCAGACTCCGTCATCCTGGACACATCCCTAAAAATGGAATAAAAACAGGGAAAGGGTTGCTTCCCCCTTGCCCATGAGCAACCCTCCGCTTTTCCTCTGGGGTCCTACCTTCATGGATGGGGTATGTCCAGGGCTAAAGTCCCGCAGCCCGGTCAGCACCTGGACGCCTTCCTCTCTACCTGTGGGGACCCTGCTTGTCCCGCACGCCCCTGAAAAGACCTCTGGGAAGCTGCTCCAGGTCGGGATTGTGCCCAGCGCTGCCTCCCTATACTGGGGCCTCCCAGGGGCCCTGCCCATCCTGTACACCCCCCAAAAACACCTCCGGAAAGCCTCTCCAGGTAGGGGTTGGTGCCTGGGCCTCCCCAGAGCCCGCCTGCTACACAAGCACATGGATTACAGACACGGCCACGGATGTGGGGCACCCCCTCCCCAGCAAAGGTGGGGAAACTGAGGCTGGAACAGAAGCAAGAGGGCAGCTCCACTGTACCCAGCACTGCGGTCTGGGGGCACTGTGCGGTGCCCTCTGACCCTGGCGCCGGGGTCACCTCACTAAGCGATGGTGTGTCTCATCTGGGAAGAGGAAAACCAACGCCTGCTTCCTGGGAGCAGGGAGTGCGTGGGCAGAGGCTGGCAGTGCCACCCAGCAGCGGGCATGGGGAGGTGCCGATGTGGAAATGACGCAGACAGTCGCCAACCCACCGCCTCTGGCCCCAGCTCCTCGTCCCAAAAAGCTCTGCGGCTTCCCGCCATCTCCCGGGCCGAACTCAGGGCTCCTTCCCCCGGGTCTGTGGCCCCATCGCCCCCTCACCCAGGGTCTGGGGTGCTGAGAACGGGCTGGGCTGGCCTTACCTTCCATAGAGACATGGATTCACTCCCAAGGTCAGCCCTGCAGGTGCCAGAGACAGCGACTGTCCGACCTGCAAGGGGACAGACTGCCCTTTCCCGCTGCGGCCCGGGCTGGAGAGTCCTGTGGAGGTCACTGTCACCTGCTTTCCTATTCGGGCACCCAGCGGCCCAGCATGAGCCCTGAGGCAGATGTGCAGGGGCCATGCAGGAGCCAGGATGGGGAGGTGACCCTCAGTCTCCCTGGGCCTGTGCCCTCACTGCACAGGCACCCGGGATGGCAGCCTGAGGCCTCTGGGCTTGCAGACAGGACAGTAGCAAGGGAACCCCAATGGTGCCCAGATGCCACATGGGACCCATATGGTGGGTGCCATGTCACCTACAGGTGCCACCTTGCCCCAGCCCGTTCCCCCACACCCCCTTCCCAGGCCAGATGAGCAGGGCAGGGACTTGAATTAGATTCAGATCCTAAAGCCATCCTAGAGCAAGGTTTCTCAAAGTGTGGGCCTCCAGGCACCCAGCGGGTTCGCGGGGTTCCTGATTAACATGCTTATTCCAGGGCTCACCTCAGATCCTGCTGAGCTGAAAATCCCCAGCTGGCTCCCACTGCATGGGCTAGAACGTGGCCTTGCCTGAATTCTTTCTCGATCAGGTCCAGTGATGGGGGCTGGTGGCTGGAGAAGTTCCTAGAGCTGCCCACAGCCCCCACCCCAGTGCCTAATAGGATGGAGGAGGTTGGGAGCAGGCAGGGAAGGCTTCCAGGAGGAGGTGGGCTTGGCTGGGAGGAGGCTCTGAGCAGGAACCCAGCCTGGGGGAATGGAGGTGTCCAACAGGCCAGCCCCTCTGCTGCACCACCGGGCCAGGCCCCAGGCCTGCTGAGGGCCACTGCCGAGCCTCGCGCCCACCTGCCCGCTGCCCCCTCCAGTCGCTGGGGACCTGGGGGCATCAGTGGTCCTGAGCCCCAGGGGTCCTGGAGATGCCCTCGAGGGCACCTGGGGGGATGCAGGGGGCCGGGGATGTTTCTGAATGTAGAGGATGGTTGAAAATTGCCAGGAGGGTGGTGACCAGCCGGCAGGGTGGGGCTGTGAGATCCCACGGGTCATGGATGGGGAGGGAGAGTGAGGTTCAAGGCTTTATTTCACATTTCCTATGGCTTCGTCTTTTTTAGAAAAGATGACATCACACGGAAACGGGGCTCGGGGGCGCTCTGCAGGCGCGGCTTCAGGACGACGGCTGTGCTCCCGAAGTGGATGCTGGACACAAGCGTTTTTAAATATAAAAGTTTTAAATGGGGCAGTGCACGGGGGTCTGGCTGGCTCACAATGTTCAAAAGGTTTTTGAATCAAATCGGAAGACTTAAAATCCAAGTTTCCGGCTTTGCTGGAAAAATCAGGCCTTGCTGGTGAAATGGAGCAGCCGGGCGGAGGTGAGGACGCAGGGCCTTGCCTGAGTTCCCTTGAGCCAGGTCCAGTGCGGGGCAGGTGGCGGGAGAAGTTGTGCAGGGTGCTGTGCCGGCCGGCCGGCCCCTCCGCTCCCTGTGGCCTCCTGGACACGAAGCTGCTGGCATTCACAGCTGCCTTGGGCAGGGAGGGTGCCTCTCGCCAGTGTGACCCACTGAGGTATCGCCCAACCCGACGTGGAGGGGGCTTGCAAGCGAAAGGAGATCACTAATGATTCTGTTGGGACAAGAGACCAGACCGCACGGTCCCATGTGAGCCAGGCCGTGCGGCCACGTCACCACCAGCCCCAGCAGCGCTTGGATGGGTCAGGGCAGGGCTCCCAGACACTTCACTCTGCCTGTAAGAACCGTCATGATACAGCCTCGGCCAGAACAGGGCCCTTTCCCATCCCCTCTGGAAAAGCCGTCCGCACAAGCGCACACGCCTGTGACGACCGCAGTGAGAATGGCTTCCCGGTGGCGTGTCCTGGCACCGTGTGTGGCCTGCACGCCCATCCTTGGCAGTGCTGCAACGGCTGCGGGATGGCTCTCCGCACCCAGCTCCGTCTATCAGTGGGGACGGTGGATGACGGCCGAGGCCCCGGGAGGCCCGTGCCCAGCTGCCCCCCTCGCTCCCCTCCCCGGCTCGGCCCCAGGCACTTCGCTTGGCATCTTGGTTCTGCACTGGGAGCTTGATTGCTTTTCCCCAACGGCTACAACTGTAAACAGATTGATGGTGCTCGCCGAGGACGGGATTCGAGCTGGCGGTGGTGCTGCAGGGTGGCCGGTGTGGTCCGGAGCCTCGGCTGCACCTGGGGAGTCCCTTGCGGCGTGGGGAGCTGGGCCCTTCCTCACCAGCCTTCTTGCTCTGGGGCCGCCTCCCGACCGCCTTGAGGGGACTCCGGACACCCAGTCTCTGGCCTGCTGGTCTCTGCTGTGCTGGAGTGAAGGAGTCACGGAGCGAATCAGTGGGTGCTCTGTTCCAGACTGTTCCCCGACGGAGGCTGCCTGGGACCTAGGCTGAGGCCAGCGCACACCAGGCCTCCTGGCGCAGAGCCCCCGCAAGGCCAGCCTGAGGGCTCAGGGCTGTGGAGGGGAAGGCAAAGTCTTCAGGCTCGAACTTGAACTCCAAGTGGCCGGGGGCAAGGGAATCATCCTCCTGGCCGGAGGCCTGCAGGGACAGGAGAGCATGAGAATTCGGGGTCGTGGGGGGCTGCTGCAGTCTCTTAGGTCAGGAGCTCCCATGACCGTGGTTGCCCTTTGGGACCCCTCGATGTCCTGGAATGGCATGTGGGACCCCTCCTGAGGCATCAGTGCTCCCCCCACGTTGGACACAGAGCCAGCTCTGGGGGAAGGGCCACCACAATGATGACCCAAAGCTGACAGGGTATCCAGTCCACCTGGCGGGAGTGGCTCCAAGGGGCTCGGATGGGATCTGATTGGGCTGAGAAAGCACAGGGGCCCCAGCATTGGGCACCCCACCAATGCCCACCCCCTCACCTGGGGGTCCACGCCGGACCCAGGGCACATAGGGGATGCCAGGCGGGGCTCAGGTTTCAACGTGGCCGCTGAGCTATCAGTGCTGGGGACAGCAGATGGGGAGGCCAAGGTGTTCGCTGTGGCTCCTGGGAGGGAAGACGGGGTGTTTACAGAGGGGCCAGGTGTGCCCTCACTTCCCCTTCCTGCCATGTGGCAAAGTCTCTTGTGGCCTGGGCCCAGAGAGGTTGGACACATTGGGCGTGGGTGGGGACTGGTCAGGGCGTGGCTTCCTCAGCCCCGCCTCTGCCCCTGCCGCCCACCTGCTGTCACCACCCTGACCCCCCACGTCCCCCAGCAAAGTCACTACAGGGCAGATCTGGGGGCATTTGGACTTTCAGAGGACAGCGCTTGAACCAAACACACACAGGTCTCTCGTGGCGGGACTGGAGGCAGGAGGCCTGACCCCAGGGCTGCGGCGCACCTGAGGAGCCCCTGGGCTTGGTGGCCGTCTTCGGCTTCCGCTTCCGGGTCTGGATGCTTTCCTTCTTCATGGCCAGAGGCCGCGGCACCTGGCAGGGGCGGCCAGGGTGGAGGCTGGTTCCGTCCTGCTCAGCCCTGGGCCCCGAGCATAGCACCCCCTCACTCCGCCCCCCAGAGCCGGTCACTCCCTGGGCTGGCGGCGTCCTCACAGCCCTGGTGGGTTGGTGGAGGGGGAGCCTGTGGGGCTGGATTCCCATCCTTGCCTCCCACAGAGCTGTCAGGGGCCAGAAGGCACAGGGGGTGCCCCGAAGGCAGGAGCCGTGCCCTGTCCGGCCCAGGCCGAATGGCTGTGCTGAGCCTCGGTCAGCGTGTCGGTGCCATGGCGTAACCGGAATGGCCCGGGCCACTGGGGTGATGCCACGTCGGCGGGGACTTGTGTGACACACTCAGCCCCAGGGACAGCGGCCCTCCTGCTGGCTCCTCCCCAGGCCCCTGGGCCGGGAGTGGGGAGGGCTCCTGCTGGGGGGCTGGAGAGGGCCCCGCCCTGCCCCGGCCGCACTCACCCCGTGCAGCTTCATGTAGAGGCCGCAGGCGTTGCACACGGGCTCACCCTCCGAGCTCCGCCGCCACAGGGTGGTGGTGGTCGTGTGGCAGTTGGTGCAGCACAGGCCGGCGCGGCGGGATGAGGACTGGGGGAGGGAGACTGCGGTGAGCCCCGGGTGGGGAGCAGCGGACGGAAGCAAGGCTCAGGGCAGCCTTTCGGCCACGCAGGACCCAGTAAGAAGGCATTTGGAGCATCAAGGTGGTGAGCTCTGCCTGGACACACCCTGGAGTCCTGGGAAAGGTCACTTTACCTTCCTGGGCCTCGGTTCGCCCCCCGTAAAATGGGGGTGATAACAGACCCACCACAGGCTGGTTGTGGCTGAGAGCCCCTCAGGGCCAGGCACCTAGGCATCTTGGTGGTCTTCCTGTGGTCTCTTTTAGCACCCACCCTGGGCCTGGACCCCCAGGTCACAGGACCTCCGGAGGCCAGGACGCAGCAAGAGTCGGGGCCTGTGGTCCCCCCGGGCACCTGCTTCCCAGACTGGGGGCCCCACCAGACAGCGGCTGAGGGCTCCAGTTCCCACCTGCCTATGTCTCCCCTCTTCTGTCTACTGTGCCTGGTGTCAGAGCAAGACTGGACTCATCTGGAACCTTCCAGAGGCCTCAACATTGCTTCCCTCTTTCCCGTGGCTCCCAGTAGAGAGTGACCTCCCCCCCCCCGATTCTGGCAGGTCCAGGTCCAATCAGAGGTCCCGAACATCCAGGGCCCCAGTCCGTGGGCTCAGTTGGGGGAGGTTCCGAGCTGGCTGCCTGGGGATCCTTGTTGAAGGTGAACCTGGGGCCTCCCTCCAGCTCGAGCCGCCCTCTCTCCCGCTGGCCTCACATGTTGGTGCTTGGAGGGAGGTGGTGTTTGGGAGTTCCGGCCCAGGGCTCCAGAGGCCCCTCTGACACAAAGCCCTTTCCCAAATCTCAGAGCACAGCTCTGCTGGTGGCACCACCTTTTCCAGCCACCTGTTGCCAGCCCTGGTCCTCCGGGGGCCGCCGTTTCTACGCAGCCCCTGCCCTGAGCCCATGGGTTCCTTCTCTTGGGTTGCACAGCCCCCGCCTGGTCCGGGTCCCACCCCTCTTGCCAGGACCACAGTGGGGGCTCTGCAGGAGCTCTGTCCTCCCTCCTTGGCAGCAGCTAGGGCCGGACCGTCAGTGTGCTGAGGCATAGGATGCAGCCCGTGAGGACGAGGCCCCCACGCTCAAAGCCATGCCTCGGATTCTCTAGCCAGGACACAGCCAGAGAGCAGTCACGAGAGAGCCAGACACACTGGGGGAAAGACTCCATCCTGGGCGAGGGCCGAGCAGACATAGCCAGCCTCGGTTTCCCCATAAGCTACTGCCATGGGTACATATAGCCAGCCTCAGTTTCCCCATCTGTTATTGCTGAGTACACACAGCCAGCCTCAGTTTCCCCATATACTACTGCCATGAGTATACACAGCCAGCTTCGTTATTGCTGAGTACACACAGCCAGCCTCATTTTCCCCATAAGCTACTGCCATGAGTACACACAGCCAGCCTCAGTTTCCCCATCTGTTACAGCCCTCTATGACCAGATAAGTGCCAGCCTTGCTGAACATCTCCTGCCCACCCTTCCCCCAGGCTGCAGCCAAGGGCACAGGCTGCCCTGTTGAAGGCCTGAGTGGGAGCGTGGGGGCCTGTGTGCGGCCCTGAGCACCAGCCAGCCCCCAAACTCGAGGCCTCCTCGACCCCTAGACGAGGCTGCAGGCAGTTGCCGAAGGCTCTGGGAATGCTGTCCCCACTTCATCTGAGGCCAGGCCTCCTGTCTCCAGGCAGGACCCTGCCCTGAGCTCTATAACAAAGGGGCAGAAAGGAAAGGAAGAGGCCAGACCAGTGAGGCCGGGGGAGGCTTGAGAGGTGCCTCGGCCTGCAGCTCCTGGCTTAGCTGGGGAGACTTCGGAGGACAATGTCCCCCACCTTGGGCCGTAGCGTCCAGCCACTCAGGGTCTCCAGTGGTCTCCTGGGGGGGACGTTGGGGTGAGACTTGTACTCACGCTGGAGGGCCCAGCCCAGGCCCCGGCAGAGCTGGAAGGGAGATGGCGCCCGGCCCACTGGATGGCGGAACCCTTTCTGCAGGAGCAGCTGGGGTCACCTAGGGTCCCCGGCTGGTGTCTCTCTCTGGGATGCACACCCTGACGGGTCTAGAAGCAGCTGCCGTTACTGGACAGGATTTGAGTCTGGCTCCCTTTCTTCTGTGCCCGTCGGGTGCCAGGAGCTGTGGCTGCTCCCTTGGTGGCCTCAGGCCACTGTCCAGTATGAGGCCCAGTGTCCTCCCGGCCTCTCGGACACCCACCCATCCGTCGATCTGCCTGACGTGGAAAGAAGTCTCCCCAGGGCTGCCAGACGTAGGGACCCAGGATGTGCAGGTAAATGTGTCTCTGCTCAGTGACAGCTCCTTTGTCTCCTCCGGTATTTGGGACATGAGTGCCGAAATGTCTGTGTTTATCTGAAACCACATGGACCCTCTAGTGCTCTGTAGTTTAATTTACTTGCTGACCCCCTCCTCATGGCCCACAGCAGTCCCCGCCTTCAGACTGAGGGGCATCCGTAGCCCAAGGCCCGTCCTCTTCCCTGAAGCAGCGGGACCCTCAGGTCTGGGACCAGCCGTCGCCCCTGAGCACACACAGATGGGGATGTACACACATGTGCACCCTCCACACGGCCCCCACAGCTGCCAGCATGCCCATGATGCAGCCGTGTCTGAGACACAGGGTACGGGGAGAAAGAAGGTGTGTGCATGCAGGTGTGTGGGCTGGACCCCCCGCAGCGGGCATGCCCATCACCCCGCACCCTGCGAGTGCCACAGAAATGCCTGGAACCCACCTTGAGTCTCTTCACAGTGCAGTTTCATTTCTATCAAATTAAGAAAATGGGAAAAACACGGACCTCACAACACTTTTCAAAGTGCGCCCTCGCCTACCTCTCCTAACTCTCCACCAGGTCGAGGCGGTACAGGTAGGAGATTGAGGCTCAGAGGAGCTGAGGGACCCCAGGAAACTGAGGAGGCCTGGGGTGGACAGAACTGCCCCTTGGCCAGACACTTTGGGGACACGCTTCTAGCAGCTCGCCTGTGCTGTGCCACGGTACCAAAACCACGCCTCCATCTGTCCTTCCTCACTGCGGGACACGCAGCCCGGCCTGGCTGCGCTCAGCACCCCGCCCCTCAGGCCCTTCTCCCACCCCAGGCCTCTCCCCACAACACCTCTCCCCAACCCCAGGCCTCTGCCCTCTCCAGCCTCCCCAACCCCAGGCCTCTGCCCTCTCCAGCCTCCCTGCCCAGGCCTCTCTCCCCGGCTGCATTTCGTTTTTCTTTTTTGTCGGTTCTTTTCAAAAGAAGTCAAACTTCAAAGCCTGCTCGCCCACAGCAGAGCCGCTCTAAGCAGCTCTAAGCACCAGGCTCTGCGTGCATCTCAGACATCCAAATAAATCAGGCAGGGCAGGGCAGGGCCCGGGGTGCTGTCGGAAATTCAAGGAGCACAGGAAAGGGAGGGAGCTCCGAGCCTGGCTGGGAGGGGGGACGTGAAGGTGGCGGGTCACAGCGCCCGCAGTGCAGCTGCCTCCTCTGAGACGGAAGACTGGGCCGTGGACAGCCAGAGGCCGCCGCACTGCAGAGTCTGACCCTTGGGTACCAGCGAGTGGCTGGAATGTCTCCGAATCCAAACGGGTCCCCGACTGGAGGGGAGGCGTGGTAAACACAGGACGCTCTCCCATGTCCCCTGCTGGCTGAGGGCAAACCGACTCGGGGTTGTGGTTCTGTGAGGGGCTTGAAGGAGGAAGCCCTGGGGCCGGGGTGTGTCAGGTGCCTGACTCCAGGTAAGGGCCAGGTTTGCTCAGCAGCACGGGAAAGACGTTCGGCCCCGTGTGACACTGGCTACTTCCTGGAGCTGGTGTCAGAAGTGGCCCTGGGCTGGGGGTCTGCTGTCCCCACTGACCTTGGCTGCCGGACCCTAGGCTTCAGCCCGGGCTCCAGTGTTCTTGGGGCTGGGCTGCTGGGGGCCCACATGCTCCCAGCAGTGTGTATTCACAGAGTCAGACCACGGGGAGAGGGCACAGTGGTACTGGACGGTCCCCACCCTCCGAGACCTCTGGTCTTGGCCAGATGGATAGTAAACAGGATCCTCCCCCACGAGGCATCTTAAAGCCCATCCCGTATCCCCCAGACCAGGGAAGGGAGGCCTTATCATGCATGCCAAAGGCCCCCATGGGTCAGTCTTCAGAGCCAAGGCCCGAACACACAGCGCCGCCTAAGACAATCTTTACAGCAAGGCGTGGGGCGGCCCTAAGTTCCTCTCCCCACTCCAAAGATGAGGAGACAAAGGCCCAGGGAGCCGCAGAACTGTCCACGAGATGCCACAGCCCAGGAGCCTGGGATCCGGCCGGACACAGGCATTGCCCGGCTGGAGACCTAGGGCAGGGCAGGGCAGGGCAGGGCAGGGCAGGGCAGGGCAGGCAGCAGGACGGCTCCTCCCAGCTCCTCCTCCTGACACCAGCGTGTCCCGGTGCCCGGTTCAGGGCCTGGCAGTGGGAGAGAGGACACAGCCAGAGGAGGGGCAGCCTTCCCCATGGGCGAGGGCAGGGAAGGGGTCCCGGGCTGTGTCTCACAGAAGCCGGCTGAGCTCCCTACCACTTCTCTTTTTTAAAAAATTAATTTAATTTAGCTTAAAATGTAATGAAGTTGAACAGAAGTTAATTTCTTTTTTTTGGATGGAGTCTTGCTCCATTGCCCAGGCTGAAGTGCAGTGGTGCAATCTTGGCTCAGGACAGCCTCAACCTCTCAGCTCAAGAGATCCTCCTGCCTCAGCTTCTCAAGTAGCTAGGACCACGGGTATGTGCCATCTTGACCGGCTAATTTTTAAGTATTTTGTAGAAACTTGGTCCCCCTATGTTGCCCAAACTGGTCTAAAACTCCTGGGCTCAAGTGATCCTCCTGCCTCAGCCTCCCAAAGTGCTGGGATTACAGGCGTGAGCTAGTGCACAGGACCAATTTAGTTACTTTTAGAGACAGGGACTCCCTCCACTGCCCAGGCTGGAGTGCAGTGGCATGATCACAGCTCACCCCACCCTTGAACTCTAGGACTCAAGTGATCCTCCTGCCTCAGCCTCCTGAGTGGTTGGGACTACAGCTGTGTGCCACCATGTCGGCTAATCTATTTTTAAAAAATTTTCAGTAGACATGGATTCTTGCTATGTTGCCCAGGCTGGTCTTAACTCCTGGGCTCAAGTGATCCTCCTGCCTCAGCCTCCCAAAGTGCTGGGACTACAGGTAGGAGGCACTGTGCCTGGCCCCAAACGCGCTCAACCTCGATTTCCCCTCCAGTGAAGGCCACATGACGCCAGGCTGGATGAGCGCACCTGGGAACACAGGCATAGTTGCAGGGCAAACAGGCCCGGGGAGACGGGCTCCGAGGAGCCTTCCCTGTGAGGCGGGCGTGAGAGGAGGCCGGGCCCGCAGAGCCCCAGGCCTGAGGCCAGCTCCAAGGAAGAGAAGTGACGGCTGCCCCCAGCCTGCAGTCCTCCTTCCCACCTGCCCCGCTGGGACCTCGCACGCTCAGGTCCTGGTTCCCCATAGCCCAAGGCCCCAGGTTTCCCCTAAGCCTGTAGCCGGGGACTATACAGAGCTGCCTGGTGCAGGACGCAAATCCAGAGACATCTAGAACAGCAGCCCCACAGGACAGTGGCTGGAGGGCTCACCTCTAGCCAGGATGACTGCCAGAATCAGCCGATGTACCCCACACGAGTCCACACCACCCACGGAGGAGAGCTTCACCCCAGAGTCCACACCACCCGCGGAGGGGGGCTTCACCCCACACAGAGTCCACACCACCCATGGAGGAGGGCTTGACCCCCACACGGAGTCCACACCACCCGTGGAGGAGGGCTTGACCCCCACATAGAGTCCACACCACCCGCAGAGGGGGGCTTCACCCCAGAGTCTACACCACCCGCGGAGGGGGGCTTCACCCCAGAGTCTACACCACCCGCGAAGGAGAGCTTCACCCCACAGAGTCCACACCACCCGCGGAGGAGAGCTTCACCCCACAGAGTCCACACCACCCGCGGAGGAGGGCTTGACCCCCACATAGAGTCCACACCACCCGCAGAGGAGGGCTTCACCCCACAGAGTCCACACCACCCGCGGAGGGGGGCTTCACCCCACAGAGTCCACACCACCCGCGGAGGGGGGCTTCACCCCACAGAGTCCACACCACCCGCGGAGGGGGGCTTCACCCCACAGAGTCCACACCACCCATGGAGGAGAGCTTCACCCCAGAGTCCACACCACCCGTGGAGGAGGGCTTCACCCCACAGAGTCCACACCACCCGCGGAGGAGGGCTTGACCCCCACACAGAGTCCACACCACCCACGGAGGAGGGCTTGGTGCTCAGGAACATACCCTTGCCCAGCCTTCCAGCCCAGGGGCTATGGTGGCCCCTCAACTTTCAATAACTTGCAAACATGTCAACACCGCAAATCCTTATTTGTAAAATTACTTAAAAGTAAGAGTTTGCCTGGGAAACAAAGTAGCTTTCAGCTTCTCCCAGCCTCTGGGGACTGCGCCCTGCCTGGGGCAAAAGTCCGGGCTCTGGAATCCCCCACTCCCTGCTCAGCCACAAGCCAGGGAGAACCAAAAGTGAAAACAAGTTCTGCCCGTGAGTCAGGGGACAGGTATAAACCTGGTGTCCCTGCAGTCCCTGAGTCTGGGTTGAAAATGCTCCCCGAGGGGGCTGTGGACCCAAAGACTCTCCAGTTGAAGACTTTAACGCCTTCAATAAAGTATCCAGCAGCCACTGTCCCTGGAGCCTCATCCCAGGCAGGGTCACCTTGAGGCCTCGGAGACCTGGCCAGGCCACAGTCAGCCACCACCGACTCGTGGGGCTGAGCTCCTGGCTCCCTGCAGCAGCACTTCCCAGAGCCAGCCCTGAGCAGAGCCCGGCTGGCACCACTGCTCCTGAGTCCGGCCCCCGAGCTCTCCCAGGGCTGGGTGCTATGAGCTAGTGGCCCTGGCATCCCCACTAGGATGCCTGCCCTGCCCCGAGCACTCAGAGAAGACCCGAGACCCAGCGGAGTGGGCATCCAGGCTGTTTTTGGCACACCCACCGCCCCCACCCCAGAGGCTCTGGTGTGGCCTGGGTCAATTGAAGAGGTCCCCTGGAGTGAGCACTTCACGCAGCCCCCCCACCCTCCTACCCCCACCAGCCTGAACTCACCAGGCGCTTCTGGGGCCGGAGGAGCGGCCGGTTGACGCCGTTCATCTTGTGGTAGAGGCCGCAGGCATTGCACAGGTAATGGCCGGTGCCGTCGCGGCGCCACAGGGGTGTGGACAGGGCCCCGCAGTTGACACACTCACGCCCCTCACCTGGGAACTCCTCCAAGAAGTCAGACACTGAGGGGACAGGCAGCTCGTGGGTGCTCCCTCCCCCTCACCAGGAGCCTCCCAGCTCCCCATCAGGCCGGCGCCCTCCCCTCCCCAGAAGCCTGGCAGCTTTTGTCAGACGAATAAATTTAAAGCACACATTTTGTGCTTTAAATTTATTTTAAAATTTATTTGCTTATTTACTTAATCTTATTTAAAAATTTTTAATTTACATATGATAAAATTTGTTAGAGTTACTTTTACAAAAATGGGTGTTAATAAACACAGCCTGAAGACAGACACCTGGGACCCCTCCCAGACCAGGATCCAGCACTGGCCTCTGCTTGTTTGACCTTCGGGGAAAGCAGGGCGTCTACACTGGTGGGGGAGGCGGATTAAGGGGTGTCTACACTGTCGGGGGAGGTGATGTAGGGTTTTTTGTTTTGTTTTGTTTTGTTTGAGACAGAGTCTTGCTCTGTCGCCAGGCTGGAGTGCAGTGGCGCAATCTTGGCTCACTGCAACCTCTGTCTCCTGGGTTCAAGCGATTTTTCCACCTCAGCCTCTCCAGTAGCTGGGACCACAGGCGCGTGCCACCAGGCCCGGCTTAAGTTTTTTTTTTTTTTTTTTTTTTGTGCTTTTAGTAGAGATGGGGTTTCACCATGTTGGCCAGGATGGTCTCGATCTCTTGACCTCGTGATCCGCCCGCCTCGGCCTCCCAAAGTGCTGGGATTACAGGCGTGAGCCACCGCGCCCCCCCGATGAAGGAGTTTTATCTGGCAGCGGCTCTTGGGCTCCCCTTGGCTCTGCTGGGACCCTAACCCTGCTGGCCTCCTTTTCTGCAAAGCGGGTCCATGGCGGGGTGGGGGCTGGGAGGGTGGAGAAGGTGGGTTGGGAGGTGGAGACCGCCCTCTGTCAGTTTTGCTGTGGTGGCAACCAGCGTCCTTTGGAGGGACAGCCCCGCCTCGCAGCCCCCTGGGACCGTTCACACACCGCGGCGGGGGTGGAGCTCTTCCTGGTCCCCTCCAGGCCCGCCAGGCGCCGGCGGGAGGGAGGCCCGGGCGCCGAGTGGGGGTGGGGCAAGGATCCATCATCACCCCGCCGGGAGTGGGCTCCAGCCAAGGGGCTGCCCGGGGAGGCGGGGGGCCAGGGGTTCGGCGGCTGCGGCTGCGGCTGCGCCCGCTTCCTGCGCCAGAGGGTCGGCAGGGTCCAAAAGGCGGCTCCGGAGCTGGGTGTCGAGGCCTCCACGGTCCCGGAGGGGCGGGATGGACCCCGGGGAGCTCAGAGGCGCCGCCTCCGCGGGAAAGTGCCTGCGCTGCACCCGGGAAGAGCCGCGGCCTTCGCAGGCCTAGAATCCGACTCTCCAAACTGATACTCAGGGAGCGGCTGAAACCAGGTCTCCAGTTAAAATAGGTAACCCTCCTAGAACCGAGGCGAATGTGGCCACTTCAATAAGCCGGCATTTCGGACTTTATAAAAATAGTTTCCAAAACTTTTCAAAAACAAAACAAAACAAACAGAGCGACGATGAAGACTTTTGGGGCTGCACCCCGGCCGTCTGGAATGCCGTGTGGAAATGCGTGTTCCTTCCCACGAACAGGTGAACACACGGAATCCCGACGGAGTTTCTCGTGCGGGGTGATTGCCCAGGGTGCTGCGGTGGCACCTGGCGGGGAGGCTCGGGCTCTGGGGAGTGGGGAGGAGGGAGGAGGGAGCGTTTCGCAGGGTGCGGGTTTGCACCCGGATTCGGCCAGCCCCGGCCCCGAGTCTGTGGAGCCCCGTACTCACCCAAGGCGGGCCTGCGGACGGGGAGGCCGTGCAGGACGCTGCCATCCAAGGGCCCGGCGGTCCAGGTCGGGGCCACGTCGGGGCTCACGTAGGCCGGGTAGGTGGTGGGATAGGAGGTGCCCATGGGCCGCCCAAGCGGGGCCGCGAACTGTTCCCGAGGCAGCAGCGCGCCCTGGTAGGCGCCGCGGTCCCGGCCCCGCGCGCTGCTGCCGCTGCCCGGTCCCTGGGGGCTGTGCGCGAACGAGAAGGCGGCGGCCCCGGGCGGGTGCGCGGCCGGCGGGTGCGGGCTGCCGGCGCCGAAGGCCGACGAATCCGCGGGGGCGGGCTGCGCCCAGCAGGGGCGCGCGGCGAGCTCGGGGGGCTGTGGGCCCGGCTCGCACCGGGGCAGGTAGGACAGCGCGGAGGGGCCCCGCGCTGGCGGCACGAACATCGAGGAGCCGGTGCCCGGAGCGTGCAGGAAGGAGCCCGAGTCCGCGTAGGCGGCCTGGCTGGGGCTCGCGGCCAGCGCCAGGCTCCGGTACATCCTCCCGGGAGCGGCCCTGACCTGCGGGGCAGAGGAGAGGTGTGTGGGTCTCGGAGCCGTGCGCCCTCCGCCGCGCTGTTGCCGGGCAGGTGCGGCCGCTCGGGCGGCGCTTCCCACTCCCCAGCCCGGGCCGTTCCCCGGGCAGGTCCCCGAACCGGAGGGAGAGGAACGGCGGGGCTGGAAGCGGCCAGCGCGTCATCCCGGGGCAGCCACGAAGCCGAGCCCAGCTCTTCCCTGCCCAGGTTTCGGGGGTCTCCAGGGTGGGCTCGGTGGGGGGCGGGAAGGACAGGCAGGGCGGCGCGGCGGGACGCGGGGCCTCGGTAGCGGGGCTCCGCCGCGCCAGGAGGGGCCGGGTGGGGAGGGCGCGCGGCTGCGGCCCGGGCTGAAGCACTCACCGGCGGGCAGGGAGGGCGGGAGGACCCGACAGTGGCAGTGGCGATGTGTCGGCGACCGGCGGGCGGAAGACTGGGAGCCAGGGCCTGGGAGGGTCGGCAGCCCCCACCCCGCCCCGCCGCGCCGCCCCTTCCCTTCCCGCGCCCGCCCCTCCTTCCCCGCAGGGTCAGAGCTGGGGCTCCGGCCGCAGAGCCACGTGACCCGGGCGGGCCCAGCTCAAGGGGATGGGCGACGGGGACGCACGACACGGGGCGGCCAGTGCCGGGACACAGGCGGGCCGAGGGCTCCCGGGCCCTGGCGAGTCGGGCGCAGAGACTCCTCTAACTCCGTGCGGGGCGCGAGCCGTCCTTCTCTCCCGGGAACCCCGTTGGTGCGCGCCCTCGCCGAGGGCTCGGTGCAGGGACCTGGCTCCCGTAGGGAAGGCCCAGCTCGGGTCGCTGGACTGGGACGTGGTGCCCTGGCTGGAGCCCCGCGATTTTCCCCCAAGCGGACCGCCGGGGGCTCGGGGTGCCAGTGGAAGCGGGCAGGGTCTAGCCTCGAAGGCCTGATCTGGATGCTGGGCTCGAAGCCCCCACCCAGTGGGACTCTCAGGCGGCTCTGGGACTCGGGGAAAGTCTCCTCCAGGCGCCAGCAACGCGGGCGGGTCGGAAGCGACTCAGGTCAGGGAAGCGAGCCCCGCCTTCGCTCCCGGTGAGGGCTGGATGGAGTCCGGCACATGGCGGAACCGGAACGGCGGGGCTCGGAGCACACCGGGTGGACAGAGCTTGACCCAGGTGCTTGGGCCATGAAAGTTTTTCTTTTCTTTCTTCTTTCTTTTTTGAGACAGAGTTTTGCTCTGTCGCTGAGGCTGCAGTGCAGTGGCACGATCTCAGCTCACTGCCTCTCAGTTTCAAGCGATTCTCCTGCCTCAGCCTCCCGAGTAGCTGGGATTTCGGGCTCCCACCGCCACAGCTGGCTAATTTTTGTATTTTTCGTAGAGACAGGGTTTCACCATGTTGGCGGGGCTGGTCTCAAACCCGTGACCTCGTGATCTGCCCACCTCAGCCTCCCAAAGTGCTGGGATTACAGGCGTGAGCACCGCCTGAACGTTTTCCGTTGCAGAAAGGAGCCCTCGGCTCCTGTCAGTCAGGGGCAGAGGGGAGGACGCTGGGTTCTCTCCTCGGTGGAGGCTGAAGAGCTGGGAAAGAAGGAAGGCTGCAGTGTTGCCCCCTCGGGGTGGGTGTCGCGGAGACCACTGGGCTCTGGATGGGCACGCATCGGGGTCTGGGGAGAGCTGGGGTGCCCACACGCTCCCTTCTCTCCCGGCCTTCCTCTTCCCCCGCAGCAGACAAGGATTCAGGGTGCCTGTCGAAGCGCCCAGGGTCTCGGTGTCTGGGAAGGCAGCAGGCTGACGCCCCTGGTCTGTGGGGGCCTTGGGACCCCGTGGACGGTTCGGCAGTGGGCTCAGACCTCTGCAGGAGAGAGTGCGTCTCTCAGGCTGGGGTGCCGGGGTGGGTGCCACTGGGATAGGGAGCTAGGCGACCTTCCGTCACCCCTTTCCCAGCTCCCAGCCTCCTCCCCGCCCGCTTCCCACCAGGTGCTCCCTCCTTTCCTGTCCTCAGGAATCGGGGAGGTGCTGGCTGCCCTGTGTGGACTCCCCTGCTTTCTGCCCTCCCGGCACTCGGGGTCTCCACGAGGGTCTCCCTTTGCCCCCACCCCTGTAGACTTTGTCTGCGGATGGCAGTGTGCTCCGTGAGGGTGCGGAGAGGGGCCGCAGCGGTGCCGGCGGGAGGCGAGGCTGTAGCAGAGGGCTCTAGCGCAGCAAAGCTGGTTGCACCGAGCTCTGACCCTCAGCCCGAAGCTCTCGTGAGCACCAAGAATGAAGGGAAGTGAAAAGGGACACTTGTGACTTGCTGGGGGCTGAGCCACCCCTAACACCAAGAAAGGTCTAGAGAACAAGAAAAGAACCACTGCAAACCTGGGGTGCTGAGGACAAACTCAGGGGGACTCTGGGGGCGGCTCGGGGGGCACGGGGGGACTCAGGAGGGGGGACTGAGGGGGGAACTCGTGCTTTTTGTAATAAAATCTGTAAAGTTGGTGAATGGGAAACACCAACGTTGCTGGGTGCTGTGTTTCGTCCCGACGTTTCCACGTAGCTCCCACATCGATCTTACACGATAGATCACGCTGTCACAAATGGAGAAACAGCGCAGAGGGGTGAGCTAACCTGCCGGAGGCCACACAGCTAGCAATTTAACAAGCCAATTAAAACAGAGAAGGGAGTCTCTGAGTGATGGTGGTTGGTTGCTTTTTTGAGTTAGTATCTATCTACAGTGGACGTTTGTATTAAACCCTGGCCTCTGTGGAGGGTGGAGAAGGGAACATTTACTCCTCAAAGGCTTCTCCAAGGCTGCACCTCACCCAGGGCTGTACAGGGCTAGGAGTCGGGGGGCTGTTCTGGCTACTCGAGAACAGCCCCCGCAAGCGTGCGACAGCCTCCCTGCTAGGTGGGTCACAGCTCACCTGCTCTGCAGCAGCGGGAGCCACTGGTGGCGTGTTTTCCATGTGGATCCGGCTGCCTCCGCGGTGGCCGGTGGTGTGGGCATGTATCCATGGGGATTGTCTGTGACAGTGTCTGGACCCCTTCACAGATCTGTTTCTACTTAAGCCAAAAAGAGAGGCGTCTCAGCCCAAACCTCAGAAGCCAGGTGTCCCCAGCCCCCTCCACCCCATGGTCATGCTCCGGGCCGCTCTGTACCCCAGGGCACTGGGCCCCTCAGGAAGGACGCGGCCCTGAGCCAGTGACCCAGCCCGCCAGGCCCAGGTACCCCTGAACCCCGCCCAGCTGCAAGCCCTCTTCTCCCCTGTCCCCATGCCCGTGCTCCTGCCTGCGGGGCCCTTTGCCCTCTTCTTTAGTTGCTGAACTGCTACACATCCTTCAAGACCTGTCTCGGAGGGCCCTGCCTGTCCCCTTCCTTATGTGCCCCTCTCCCCTTCCTGGTGCCTCATTGTGCTGTGTGGTCAGATGCCTTTGTGCCCCGTCTTGTCACAGCAGAAGCTGAGCCAGAACAGCTTCCGGAAGAGCGAGTCAGGGCATCGAGTGGGCACAGAACTGTGGGACTTGGCGTTCCATCTCCAGGCTGTGTGGCCTTGGGTGAGCTGCTTCCCTCTCTGTGCCTCTCCTCATCTGTAAGAAGGGGGTGATGATAGTGCCTGCCTCTCGCAGTGGCTTTGGGGAGGCCTTAGTGGGACTGGGTACCAAGGGGATCTGTCCTGGGATGGGCATGCAGCAGGCATTGTGCTAATGCTGGCCAGGAGTAAAGGGTTAAGGGTTCCAGTGTGGGGGTGGAGGCTCTGAGCTGTGTGTCCTGGGCCCTGAGAGCCGGGCAGCTGGGGTGAGTGATAAAGCCCAGGAACGAGTTTCTGGCCCTGCCACGGGTACCCCTGTCTCCTGAAGGCTTCCCTGGTTCACTGGGATGCAGGGACCTGCCAGGGCTGGCCTGTGAGGACACATCTCTAGGGTGGGGGCCCCCACACCTGTGAGATAAGAGGGTGGGCATGTTAACCCCCTGGTGACCATGCAGAGTTAAGTTTCATGAGTCCTGAGCTGTGAGGGGCTTCTGGGAGCCTGAGTGGGCTGGGGTGGGAGAGGGGTGGGGGTTGGGGTTTGGGGACTGGGGTGGGAGAGGGGTGGGTGTTAGGGGTTGGGAGTGGGGGCTGGGGGCTGAGGTAGGAGAAGGGTGGGAGTTGGGGGTTGGAGGCTGGGGTGGGAGAGGGGTGGGGGTTGGGGGTTGGGTGTGGGGAGGAAGGCTCTAACCATCAGGCTTTTGGTTTCATTTCCCGCTGTCACTTTCCTAGCAGCGCTCGCATCGCCCGCAGCCTGCCCTCAGCTTGGGAACCCTTGACTCAGACGTACTTATCAAAGAAAAGAAAACAGCCCATTGTTCAGGAGGATAAGGGGCATCAACGCCTCTGGACCAGCTCCCTGGAGACACCTCAGATGCGGCCCCTGTGGGTGGAGTCCTGGGTACAGGATGCCCTCCCCCAGGGCCCTTGGTCCCTGCCTAGGAATGGGCCCAGGGAGGGCCCTGTCCCAGGAACACCCCAGGCAGGGCCCCCTTCAGGGATTGGCCCTGGCAGGTGGGGTCACCTCCCTGCTCGATGCCTGCAGGTGGTGGATGCTCTGCCTTTCGGGCCCCGGGGATGGTTCCACTTGGGGCTTTGAGCTCCAGGAAGGCCACCCTCTGTCCAGCCAGGGGGAGGGTGCCCCTTCGAAGGGGGCTGTCAGGGTTGCCTGAGGGCTGCAGCTGGGATGACCCCCTCAGCCCTGGTCCTGGGGTTCCTTGGCTCTTGCCCCTCCCTGCAAGTGCGAACGCCATGGGAAGCTGTGGGGAAATGTCCCAGAGACCCCGGGGCAGAGAAGGAGGCCTGGGGGCTGTGCTGAGGCCTAGGGGTGAGGGGACAGGTCGTTAGAGGAGGGGAGGGCCTGCTTCCGCGGGGTGGTCATTGCCAGGGGGAGGGCAGTGTCCTCCGCAGTTATTTCAGGTAAAGCTCATGGCCCTGGGCCCCGGAGTGGGGGAAAGCTGGGTCATGCCCCTCGCCGCCTCCTGCACTGCCCTTCTCCCAGGCTCCACCCTGCAGGGCTGTGGGGCCCGGGGCATCGGCTGACCCCGCCAGGCCCACAGCACCCTCAGGACCTCGCCACCCCTTGGAGTCCACAGGGCAGCATTCCGGGCCTTCCCCAACGCAGGGGGCTCCATTCGCCCAAAGGCCAAGGACTGCAGAGCACATCAGGGTGAGGGGGCCGGGAGGTGGGTGCTTTGGGAGTGGGCCCAGCTGGGTGCGGCTGGGGAGCCTGGGGGCACCGCGCGGGTGTAAGAATTCATTTCGGATGCAGTGTGTGCCCCCTTCTGCGGAAACCTTGGGCTCAACAGCCCGCTGCCCCTTTGGCTGGTGCCACTTCTAGGTCGGGCTCCAGGGGCAAGGACAGGTCGGCAATGTCCCCTCTCTGCCCAACTGCAGCCTGGGGCTTCTGGAGCATTCCTGGGCCTGGCTCAGCTCAGCAAGCTGACGTTTGAAAGCTCCTGGAGGTGGGTGATTCTCATGTT